GGCCAGGTCTCTGACCTCCTCCCTATAGGCTGTCTCGTCGTTGTCGGTGATCAGGCCTACCACTGTTGTGTCATCGGCAAACTTAATGATGGTGTTGGAGTCGTGCCTGGCTATGCAGTCATGAGTGAACAGGGAGTACAGGAGGGGACTAAGCACGCACCCCTGAGGGGCCCCGGTGTTGAGGATCAGCGTGGCAGATGTGTTGTTGTCTACCCTTACCACCCGTCAGGAAGTCCAGGATCCAGTTACAGAGGGAGGTGTTTAGTTCCAGGGTCCTTAGCTTAGTGATGAGCTTTGAGGGCACTATGGTGTTGAACGCTGAGCTATAGTCAATGAATAGCATTCTCACATAGGTGTTCCTTTTGTCCAGGTGTGAAAGGGCAGTGTGGAGCGCAATAGAGATTGCATCATCTGTGGATCTGTTGGGGCGATATGCAAATTGGAGTGGGTCTAGGGTTTCCGGGATGATGGTGTTGATGTGAGCCATGACCAGCCTTTCAAAGCACTTCATGGCTACAGGCGTGAGTGCTACGGGTCGGTAGTCATTTAGGCAGGTTACCTTATTGTTCTTGGGCACAGGGACTATGGTGGTCTGCTTGAAACATGTTGGTATTACAGACTCAGACAGGGAGAGGTTGAAAATGTCAGTGAAGACACTTGCCAGTTGGTCAGCGCATGCTCGGTCTTGGTGTCTGCTGTTCCCATATCAGCGGCCACACGTGACTTTAACACAAAGCTCTCTACTTTTGTGTGTTGTAAAGGTGGAATTCTAGATATGGTCCTCTGTAGCTCAGCTGGTAGAGCACGGCGCTTGTAACGCCAAGGTAGTGGGTTCGATCCCCGGGACCACCCATACACAAAAAAAAAATGTATGCACGCATGACTGTAAGTAGCTTTGGATAAAAGCGTCTGCTAAATGGCATAATATTATTATTATAGATACTAAATTAACTACTGTACTTACCACCACAAAGAAGTTGAGAAGTGTTTCCAATTTAATGAAAAAAAGAAAAAAGTAGACTTGTCCATTTGTTTCTGATTATGCTCAATGTCATTCTAGGAGCAATACCTTTGAGGATAAATGTTTTTAAACAATAAATTAAATATGAAATAATGACCATGATATGACTTATGATCCTTTAGTTGACATTTTAGTATATTTATAATTTCAACAAACTAAAAGTAGCCTACAGCTATAAAAACTATCAAACTTGCCATCTCTTCTCACTGAGCCAGACAAGCAGCAGTCAGTGTGTGTCAGTCACTCCAGTCAGTCAACTGGCTGTCTTGATCCTAACGTTACTCAGGGTGTGTCACGCCCTGACTCAGGGGACTCTTATATGTTGAGTCAGGGTGTGTGTATTCTTTGTTTGTATATATTCTATGTTGTATATCTAGCATGTGTGGATCTATGTTGGCCGGTGTGGTTCCCAATCAGAGGCAGCTGTCGCTCGTTGTCTCTGATTGGGGACCATACTTAAGCAGCCTATTGGCACAGTCTAGTTGTGGGATCTTGTTCCGGGTAAGGTTCGTTGTATGTACAACCTCAGGACTTCACGTTTCGTTTGTTTGTTGTTTTGTCATGTGTTTATTCAGTGTAAATAAACATGTACGCATATCACGCTGCGTCTTGGTCTGACCCGTCATTAGACGAACGTGATAGAAGATCCCACCAAACAAGGACAAAGCAGCATGCAGAGAAGGAGCAAATGCCTGGGACTCAACAGATGTCCTCGGTTGGGGGAGAATTACGGAGGAGGAGGCCGTCCGTTATCGGAGGGCGATGAAGGAGGATGCCCAGGTAGGAGAGGAGAAACGGCGCCAACAGTGCCGACGACGGAGACCCGAGAGGCAACCCCAAGAAAAACATTTTTGGGGGGGGCACACGGTGTGGACGACGAGGCAGCAGGAGGCCGTTAAAAGGCGGCTCTGCAGGTTAGGAGAGGAGGCCACCATGTTACGGGGGCTATTGGTTCAGAGGGAGAAGGTGTTATTCGGTCAGAGGGAGGCGCTACAGGAGGCTAAAAGGGAGAAGGAAAGAGTAGAGGCACGGCGAGAGGAGCTGGTTAGGCAGCAGAAGGAGCGGGGGTTAATAAAGGAACCCAGTCCTGCTCCTCGCACCAAGAAAGTGGTGCGTGTCGCCAGTCCGGTCCGGCCCGTTCCTGCTCCCCGCACCAAGCCAGTGGTGCGTGTTCCCAGTACGGCCCGGCCCGTTCCTGCCCCTCGCACCAAGCCTGTGGTGCGCGTTGCCAGTCCGGCCCGGCCCGTTCCTGCTCCTCACACCAAGCCAGTGGTGCGCGTCGCCAGTCCGGCCCGGCCTGTTCCTGCTCCTCGCACCAAGCCAGTGGTGCGCATCGCCAGCCTGGCCCGGCCTGTTCCTGCTCCTCGCACCAAGCCAGTGTTGCGCGTCGCCAGCCCGGCCCGGCTTGTTCCTGCTCCTCGCACCAAGCCAGTGGTGCGCGTCGCCAGTCCGGCCCGGCCTGTTCCTGCTCCTCGCACCAAGCCAGTGGTGCGCGTCGCCAGCCCGGCCCGGCTTGTTCCTGCTCCTCGCACCAAGCCAGTGGTGCGCGTCGCCAGCCCGGCCCGGCCTGTTCCACCGGTGCCTGGTCCGGCACCGGTCAGCTGCTCCACTCCGGAGCAGTCCGCTCAACCGTTGCCTGATCCAGGTCCGGTCAGCTGCGCCACTCCGGAGCCAGAGCAGTCCGCTCCACCGGGGTCCAGTCCAGCTCCGGTCAGCGGCTCCACTCCAGAGCCAGAGCAGTCCGCTCCACCGGTGCCTTATCCAGCTCTGGTCAGCCAGGGCCACATCCTGACTGATGGCAGCCCATTCTTGCATAATCAATGCTTGGAGTTTGTCAGAATTTGTGGGTTTTTGTTTGTCCACCCTCCTCTTGAGGATTGACCACAAGTTCTCAATGGGATTAAGGTCTGGGGAGTTTCCTGGCCATGGACCCAAAATGTCGATGTTTTGTTCCCCGAGCCACTTAGTTATCACTTTTGCCTTATGGCAAGGTGCTCCATCATGCTGGAAAAGGCATTGGTCGTCACCAAACTGTTCTTGGATGGTTGGGAGAAGTTGCTCTCGGAGGATGTGTTGGTACCATTCTTTATTCATGGCTGTGTTCTTAGGCAAAAATTATGAGTGAGCCCACTCCCTTGGCTGAGAAGCAACCCCACACATGAATGGTCTCAGGATGCTTTACTGTTGGCATGACACAGGACTGATGGTAGTGCTCACCTTGTCTTCTCCGGACAAGGTGTTTTCCGGATGCCCCAAATAATCGGAAAGGGGATTCATCAGAGAAAATGACTTTACCCCAGTCCAATCCCTGTATCTTTTGCAGAATATCAGTCTGTCCCTGATGTTTTTCCTGGAGAGAAGTGGCTTCTTTGCTGCCCTTCTTGACACCAGGCCATCCTCCAAAAGTCTTTGCCTCACTGTGCGTGCAGATGCACTCACACCTGCCTGCTACCATTCCTGGCTTTTGACCACGACTGTACACACAATACCCCATAAAACTTTTGACCACGACTGTACACACAATACCCCATAATGACAAAGTGAAAACATGTTTTTATTGAAAATTAAAATACAGAAATATCTAATTTACATAAGGATTCACTCTCCTGAGTCATTAGTTTGTAGAAGCACCTTTGGCAGCCATTAAAGCTGTGAGTCTTTCTGGGTAAGTATAGTATCTAAGAGCTTTCCACACCTGGATTGTTCAACATTTGCCCATTATTCTTTTTTAAATTAATCTCTGCCAAATTGGTTCTTGATCATTGCTAGACAACCATTATCAGGTCTTGCCATAGATTTTCAAGTAGATTTAAGTCAAAACTGTAACTCGGCCACCCAGGAACATTTACTGTCTTCTTGATAAGAAATGCCAGTGTAGATTTGGCCTTGTGTTTTAGGTTATTGTCCTGCTGAAAGATGAATTCATCTCCCAGTGTCTGGTGGAAAGCAGACTGAACCAGGTTTTACTCTAGGATTAGCTCCATTCTGTTTCTTTTGCATACTGAAAAACTCCCTAGTCCTTGCCGATGACAGCATACCCATAACATGATGCAGCCACCACCATGCTTAAAAATATGAAGAGCGGTACACAGTAATGTGTTGTATTGCATTTTCCCCAAACATAACGCTTTGTATTCAGGACATAAAGTTAATTTCTTTGCCACATTTTTTGCAGTTTTCCTTTAGTACCTTATTGCAAACAGGATGCATGTTTTGGAATATTTGTATTATGTACAGGCTTCCTTCTTTTCACTCTGTCAATTAGGTTAGTATTTTGAATAACTACAATGTTGTTGATCCATATTCACCATTGGCCTCATGGTGAAATCCCTGAGCGGTTTCCTTCCTCTCCGGCAACTGAGTTAGGAAGGACGCCTGTATCTTTGTAGTGATTGGGTGTATTGATACACCATCCAAAGTGTAATTAATCATTTTTCCATGCTCAAAGGGATATTCAATGTCTGCTCTTTTTATTTTTACCCATCTACCAATAGGTGCCCTTCTTAGTGAGGCATTGGAAAACCTCCCTGGTCATTGTGGTTGAATCTGTTTGAAATTCACTGCTTGACTGAGGGACCATACAGATAATTGTATTTGTGCGGTACAGGGATGAGGTAGTAATTCAAAAATCATGTTAAACACTATTATTACACACAGAGTCCATGCAACTTATTATGTGACTTGTTAAGTGAATATTTACTCCTGAACTTATTTAATGCTTGCCATAACAAATGTGTTGAATACTTATTGACTCAAGACATTTCAGCTTTTCATTTTTCATTAATTTGTAAAAAAGAATTGGAAAACATAGTTCCACTTTGACATTATGGGGTATTGTGTTTAGGCCAGTGACCAAAAAATCTATATTTAATGCATTTTCAATTCAGGCTGTAACACAACAAAATGTGGAGGCACTGTATATCAGTCATCGTTCCACTCATGTGAGGCGGATGCTCAATGCTGAGTCTGAGTCCAGTCCTCAGGCTGGGAGGTGTTTCCAGGTGGAGACAAACACTGTGGGGATGAGTGAATAGGGTACGGTAGTGATACTGTTCCACCCGTCCAGCGTAGGGTCATAACAGTCCAGAGTCTTACACCGCTACATGCCAAAGTACCCTCCCACCACATACAGTTTGTTCCCAGACGCCACAGCCTGGCAGCTCATCCGCTTGGCCGTCACGTCTCCAACTTTAGTCCATTGGTAGCTGTCACTGCTGAACTTATAGGCTGAACATGCCGAGAACTCTGTGTCCCCACCCATTACAAAGATCTGGTTGTTGAGAATGGCTGCAGGGCTAGAGCGCCAGGGCTGTGGGCAGGAGGCAAGCACGGGCCAACGATTCTCTTGGGGGTCATAGAGCTGCACCTTGGGTAGTTTGTCGTGGGTGACACTGGTTCCTCCAAAGGCGTAGAGTTTGAGCTTGATGCTGACCACCGCCGCATTGCTCACGCCCTCCCTCAGCGGCACCACCATGGACCACTTGATGTTCACCGGGTCGTACTTCTCCACTTGCTTCAGCGACACAGAGGGCGAGGCGGGTAGGAAGCCTGTAACCCGCCGTGTGGCCTCCTACCACGTAGAGGCAGTGTTTGAGTTCGGCCGAGCCATGGCCGAAGCGGGGAAGTTGCTGAGGCACATGCCCCAGGAGAGCTCGGACAGCTTGGTGCACTGGTGGGCGTCGGACAGCAGCAGCATGCCCAGGCAGTGTCAGATTACGCTCCAGGAACTCCGTGCAGGCGTCCCGAATGTCCTGGAGCTCCAGCATGTCCCCGGCCTCCAGGAGGGACTCTGCGTTCTCTTCGTTGATCACCATCCAGGACATGTAGGTGTAGTCCAGTAGCAGCTCCAAGACTTCCGGGTGACTGAGTCCCTGAAGTCCAGCTCGCTGGCCTGGCTCTCCCTCAGCCCGCCAGAGAACATGGCCTTGAACAAAGAGAGTTGGAAACCAAGAGCATGGCAGCTAAACGTGACATGTTTTCCTATGGAAAATGTTTATGCTAGTTCCCTGTCTTAATAATAAGTGTAATAAGTGGCCATGTTTGAGAGCATCAAATATGTGATGCATTGTGGGTAAATTGTGACTGACTGACTGATCTACAAATAATAATGAACAGTTATTTATGATGCAAGGTGATTTTTTTTACATCAGTCAGTCAGCAGTCGTTTGCAATGTCGGCTGCAAAGTGTTTTTACCTGGATGTAGCGGCTGCATGCAGCCAGCACAGCACGGTGGTAGGGGAAAGAGCGGCTTCAATCATGGAGGAGGACTTCTGTGAAGAGACGCTGCTGTCGGAGCAAGTTGAGGAGCGTCAGGACACTGTCCGCGTATGACGAATTGTGGAACAGAAAGATGTTCATGGACGCCGAATTGAGGCGGGATTTGCGGTTCTCGTGCGTGCAGATGGACATTTTCATTGGATCCTTTGAGAAGAAGAAAGATTCACACATAAATTAGACTGATATCGTGTCCTTTTTAATTATACTACAGCTGCATGAACTACCTGCATTGAGATGCATCTATACTGTTTTTTTTTACACACCCTGGTCTTGAGTGATGAAACGTCATTACCTCATTTTAACACAGAAGTGATAACATGGAACCTTTTGATTTTACTATACCCTCAGTTGAGCCATCCACACCAAAATCTATTCCTAACCTTTTTAGAGTACTGTACCACCAAGCAGGGACGGCCTGTTCAATAGGGCGATATGGGCGACGCACTGCCAAACGGGAAAAGGAAGGGATTTTTTTTCTAATCAATTATATCACGGCAACAGTAGTTATCAGTGTTCTAATCTGATCTGACTGCCACTAAATGTCAAATCAGGCTAAAGTCGTGCTTCAAATGGCCCCGCCCGTTTTTGGGGCGATTTCAGTCAGGTTGAAAATCGCCCAGAAGTCTCTCATAGCCTGTCATGTAAAATCTATTTTTTTCAAATTTCAAAGCTTTCAATACAATCTCTATGGGTGTCTTAGGGCTTGCACTTACGCGCTTTCGTCATACGTGACGTAACCATGAACGTAACTAAGAAAATAGCGGCTAGCAGCGTCTCTGTTGCGACCTGCAGTGTGGCGTTATCTTATGTTTTTAATTTGTACACTTAGTGGCGTTATTTTATGTTTTTAATTTGTACACTTAGTTTACAAACATTCTGCCAACCATGGATTTCCAGTGGTGGGTTTTGGACTGATCTTGTTGATCGTGTACATACACGCTACGAACGGACTAAATAATGAAAACGCTGCTGGCAGCGGAATCCAATACAGCTGGGAGACTTGGCTGGATGACAGAGTCCCGGACAGAGAAGTAGAGCCGGCCGGCTTCACCCTGGTCAGAGCGGACCGCGATCCTGGTAAGAGAGCGACTCTGTACCCCCGACATTGAACTGCTTTCTGTGTCACTGCGACCTTACTATCTGCCCCGTGAGTTCCCCCAATTGTTTGTTACCGTTGTGTACTGTTGATAATCACAAGTTTACTGGAGAACTGAGACCAAGTAGAGACTTTGGACAGGGTGGATATGGTATAATAAAGGCAGTTTATTCAGAGGTAAAGATATCTGGAATCGCGTGCACGGACTCGTTCGTCAAACTCTTAGGGAGCTATCTGAAGAGAGCCCCGAAAACATTGTGTGCAGACATTTTATACAATAAATGATGTAGGTTGAATCTAGTAGTTCTGATCTTCTGATTGGTCCTGATGAGTTGGGCGAGGTCCCCTCCACTGTTGCATTGGCTCTGAGTCGGGTTCTCTGTCTTCAAATGTTCAGCCTAAAGAGAGGGGATTTTTGTGTGTGTGTGTGTGTGTGTTTAACAGTGATGATGTGTGTGTGTGTGTGTGTTATCAGTGATGATGTGTGTGTGTGTGTGTGTGTGTGTGTCCTCAGAGCAAGAACTCGTGAGTTGGAAGAACTGAGAGACCTATGGCGTGGGTGTTGTCCTTGGCCACCTGCTGACAAGGCTGACAAGATAGGACTCTTTTGTCCATTGTTATAGGATAGGAACAGCATTGATTGAAAACAAACGCCCAACACAAAATGGGTCATGCACAAGATTTTAGTCAGACCAAGCTATAACATTATATATTTACTACGACAGTACATTCAACCAAAAGCTAATATAACAAAGGCATCAGAGATTATTTATAATCTGTCACAGAAACTGGAATCCATCTCCCCAGATCAGTCAATAAATGCTTCTGGTATTGACTTATATGCTGCCCCTGTCTTCATGTTGTTGCTGGACATATCTTTTTTAAAATGTGTGTAGGTCACCTAAATCATCAGAAAAATTGCCCCTCCTGAGAATTTTTTCAGGAGCCGCCACTGCCACCAAGTACATTTTGCTTTGCCTGGAGTACCCCTTAAGAACCCCCTCATGTGCATTTTATCAGTAGGCCTAGGTCTCATGAGTCTTCTCAAGTACTCCCTGTAGATAAGCCAAGTACTAGTACCCCTGTTTGAGAACCACTGCACTAGGCTAAACCCACTCACACGCAATGGAAAATCGTTACTCTTACCTTCCTGTCCTGAATGCATTATCAAGTCTTCTCTGACTGCCAGGAAAAAAAGGGCATCTTGACTTTGAGGGATGTCATACAAGACAAACTCCTGATGTTTCTCTCTAGACACATACTGCTGTCCTAAATTACAAACAGGTGTCTGTATCTGAATCAACTCGAGCTAGGGCTATGGTCAAAAGTAGGGCACATTTGGGACGCAACCCAACTCTCCCAAGTTGTGGTGTCTGTTCTGCTGTGGTGATCTTAGTGTTCCACGGAGGCTTCATCTATCAGCATTTGAGCTGAATAATTTAAAAAGGGGCTTTATAACCAAGAGTTCAACAAGATCAACAAGAACAAGAAGAATTAAGGAAAACACTAGATGTAGGGAGGGGTCAATGTTTCAGCCAAAGTCGTATAGCCATTAGCCACCAGCTATACTTATTTCAATGATAGATTGATTAGACTACAAGTACCCTGGGGGTTGCTGGCATCTTCTGCATTTACCAGTTGCGACATTATGGAGAGAGCTGTATTAGCCTACTATTCACATCACTAGGAACATGTCATCTACTAGGTTTTATGTACTCCATATGGTCTCCTACCAGCTGGAGCTCAAGGCTGTTTTGACAACAGAGATACTATCAATCAGTTCTATATGTAATTATAATGTTTTGACAGCCCTGATAATAATATGATGTTCTTAAAGTGGTATTACATGTAATCTTATCTGAATCTCCAGTCTCAGCCTTAATGTAGACTTAGTATAAAAGATGTGTAGTGTGAACCAATATTACACTCACACAACACTCAATTGAAGTCATTTGCAGTCAAAAGTGAAGTGCTTCGTATATCAACAATATTTCAACAAAACATAAAATGCAGTACATCAACAATGTATTGTAGCCTACCCCCAAATCTCTAACCATAATATTTGCACGACAACGCTGACTATTAATGATGTTCTGAACTCCAGATAATACAATTGATAGACATTTACCCCTGACTGAGTAAGAGCAGGGATTGGAATGTTTGCGTTTTAACACTCATGCATGTCACTCTTCCACTGAAAACCACCATGCTCTCAATACTGATATTTTCCTCTCCTCTTGAAAAAGATACAGAATTGCACTCACTGCTAGACTCCAAAAAGGCCTATTCCCAATCTGTCTGTTTTCTCCTGTAGTCTCGATGCATAATCTTGTTCACTGGAACTAATAAAATATTAGTTTTCTTCTGTTATAATCCACATTATGAGATCTGGAATGTGAGTTAAGAGGAATTTTTGTCAGACTCAGCGCGTAGTAAGAGCTCTTGGAAGAAATTAGTGGGTTTTAAACTGTTTTAAAGTGTGGTGTGGGAGGAGCAATGCTCAAGAAAGGGGAAGGCGTATGCAAACTAGTAGGCTAGTGCTTTTAAAAATGTGGTCTCTAACCCTGGTTGGCTTTGAAGAGCTTCAGGGTGTGCAGGCTTTGGTTCCAAACCTGATTCAACTAATCACCAAGACTTTCATTAGTTGAATCAGGTGTGTTAGTGCTGGGCTAGAACAAAGCCTGCACGCAGTAGCTCTCCAAGGGTTGTTGCAGATAAATGGCTTTGAAATAATTCACCACACAATATGTAGCTATATGACAAAAATAATTTTAAGTTACCTTAAAAAATCAGTGACTATTAAACAGTGAATCATGTTAATTATTTGTTGTGATAAGGATGCACATTGCACACCATTGACACACATTGCTGCTATGCTAAGCATGGTGCTGTTGCAGTTCTCTCAGAAGTTTTCCTGTTAAGATCCATTAGATAATGAACAGCACCACCTGTTGATGGAATGCAGTCTCTCACCCCATAATTCATATTTCTCAGAGTAGGAGGTATGATCTATGATTAGGTCCCCCCAGTCCATGTCATCTTATTTATTATGATCTAAAAAACTGATCCTGGATCAGTACTCCTACTCTGAGACTCTTTGTGAATCAAGGTTATTATAGTTTTGTGTTTTTATATATTTGTTTTTATTTCTATTCATTTTAAGATTATTATTTGAAATTCAGTTTAGTTTCATGTTAGTTTTCAGATCTGATTTACTAGTTTATATTTAGTTTAAGTATAAAATACATCTATTTCGTTTTTTATATTATTTAGTAAGGCATAAGGTGATGGGTCAGGTCATAGGTTAGGTTAGGTTAGGTTTAAAGGTAGACTCAGTGAGATGACGTAGATGCACGAAGTAAACAGTTGTAGTGGGTCAATTTCTGCAACAACCAGGAGCATTGAAGCACGATGCTAAACTTTGCTGCTGTTTTGGTCCCGTAGCTACCACATTGTAGCAGAGGGAAGCACACCCGTGCACATGCGCAGATACTCTGTGTGACTGTGTGAGAGCAAAGTCTTGCATCAACCTCATCTCAGTCAACGAGTGATGTCGGGGGAGGTGCATCTGCAACAGTCAAAAGTCGGGCACTGAAGTGGTTTTCCAACAGCAAGGCTCAGATCAACATGGTAGTGTCAACAAAGCTGCTATTGTTTACAAAAGTTTGTCTTTATAAATGTTTAAATAAACTTTTCTAAACCCCAATATCACACACTCACAAACAGAACTCACAAACTGAAAACCTAACGTGAGTACAATTAATTGGTTAGAGAGAGGTCTCAAATATCACTGCCTGTAGCTTTAGAATCGCAGCAAAGTTGGTTCCTGTTTCAGTCATGTCTATGTTTCACGTTCGTGTGGGTCAACCTAAAACACCCTAATGATTGGTTGACAAATAGTGCCTCCCACTAGCCAGGCATTGGCTGCATGGTGCAGTTGGTGATAAGCAACTACAGCAACTTGAAGGCGACTTCATAAAAAACTGCATGAGCTTTGAGCACGTTTTTTTGTAAACCTCATGCAGTCAACATATGTTTTTTTTTGTTTTTTTTTTGGTCATTTAGCAGACGCTCT